CCAGAAGTACCCCTCAAATATGAAGAATTTCTCGAAGCCTTTGCGAATCATTTCATTCCACGCAGAAACATTATCTTCGAGAGATTTCAGTTCAATCCTTGTGTTGAGCTTCCAGGTGAGGGTATACATTCTTATATAACAACCTTGCATACTTTGGCAGAATATTGTGAATGTGTACAAGAGGCATACGCTATGAAATTATCGATATATTGGAATTCTTGGATACCAAGAAACTGAGGTTTGATTAGAAGTCAGGTATCATGCGAAATCTGTTTCTATTTTTGTGAAATACAAGTACGAATGTAGCTTGTTCACTTGAAAGACTGATTAAAGTTTGAATTACTTCATATGCCAAGTGGTGAGTGGTTCTGATGTGGAAAAGATTCTTTCAACCCCATTGCGAATGAAAATGCGGCTTGTTTACTTGGGAAACTAATTGAAGTTCAAAGTGTCTCATGTACTGAGTGGTCCCAATGTGGAAAAGCTTTTTGTAGCTTAATTGCGAATGAAAATGCAGCTTGTTCACTCAAAATACCGATTGATGTTTGGAGTATCTAATATATAACGAGTGGTCCTAATGTAGAGAAGCTTTCTGTAGCTTCATTGCATAATACACTCGATTTTAAAGGATAGAACACATTTTTCCAGGGTTTGGGTGAGGGCTTAAAAGTTCTACTACCCAAACTGAAAGTAGCAGCAGCTTTAATATTTTAAATGGGACACTCAGCCCATGTGTTTATTTGCTAGAATTCTCAATCATCTCTAAGGTAATCATAACTTTTAGAAATTATTGATATTTTGGAATTCTTGGATACTGAGTTTTGGTTAGGAGCTAGGCAATACGCGAAATCTATTTGTAATTTTGTAAAATTTTTTGTTCTAAAATTTGTTCTATCCGTCATTCGGTTGCCCCCTTACGAGCAACCCTCAAAAGTCTTCGAAAGTCTTGTGCGAGCAAGGAATGACGGGGGCCTTACCTTTTAACGTGTGATCCCAAACACTTTCTTGGGCCATCAGAAAAATGTCTGCAGTCGACGGGGATCGAACCCACGACCGGCAAGCGAATGCGAATTAGAATATAGACACTCTGTCCGCACGGCTACCTGGCCAAATACAAGTATAAGAATGAAAATGCTACTTGTTTACTCGAGAGACTGAGTAAAGTCAAAAGAACTTCATACACTGAGGTGGTTCTGATGTGGAAATGCATCTTGCAACTTCATTACAATATAAAGCATCGGAAAATACTCTCCATGGTTTGAGTGAGAGCTCAAAACATCTACTACCCAAATTGTCTCAATGAATATATATAGGGTATTCTTTTTATACTGATTGAAGATAGAATAAGTGGTACTGAGTGGTTGCGATGTGGAAAAGCTTTCTATGGCTTCTGGGACAATTTTGTCTTTTAATTTGCCACATTTATGAGGACAAATTAAATATATAGTGTGATTCTCGTTTGAGTTATGACGTCCATGACAACATTTTCAAATGGAACACCCTATATATTAGGGCTGGAGTGATGGCTAGAGAGATCGACTACACAATCTACTCTAATGAATATACAGAGAGTATTCCTGTCAAACACACATTTTAGAAATGTAGGTAGGTAGCTTGACCTTCAAAAAATGTTCTATATTGTAGATGATGGCAAGGAATGTACCTACATAGATTTTCCACACTATACTTGATTATTGATCATCACTTATTCTGGAAAAATGTGAGCTTTTCATTTAATATTCGTTAAAATTTCAAGAAACCTTCCTAATTATACGAAATATACAGGGTGGAATAAGGGCGAAATGAGTGCAAATATTTCGAACACTGAGAAAGCTCGACGTGTACTATCGAATGGCACTGATAAAAAAATTAAGGAATCAAAATAAAATTTGAGGATTGACCCCTTTTTCTACCCAAAGTTCTACACTGTAGCAAATTTGACGTCACCTCTGTTCAAATTTCCATGCAGTTTGCGGCTTTGTCAGTTTTTTTCAAAACGATGAAAAATTTCTTGCAAACGGTTCCCTTTACTCCCGAGGAGTCAAATGTGTTATTAGTCCCTGTTTGACGAGACTAAAGGACATACTTTGGTCCCGGCAGTAAAAAAAGTAAATTTCTGCCGAAAATCGCTACTTTTGTTAAAGGAAAAAATACAATAGGTACGTTGCTTACCGTCTGCACATTTGATGAGTGAGAGGAATCCGATCAGTAGGAAGAAAACTGATAATAAGCGAAGACCACGAATTTTCACCATATCAACCCGAAATGTTCGTCTAAACTGCGACGTTAGTCGTTATCGTTGGAACGAGAGACCAACTTCAATAACAAGCTGAGCTTCTCGTAAATTGATTCGAATTTGTGAATCAATGAGAAGCTATTAAGATGACAGTTGTTTATCTCCACAGCCGCCACGATTCTCGGTTTTTGGCTCCGCCAAGATGTCTATAAGAATGGTGTGATCACATAGGTACGGCTGGTTAACAGTAAAAACCGGGGGTGTATAATTTGCTGACCAAAATTAAAGTATGCTGACCGAGTATTTCTAATTAGAATTTTCTCTTCAAATTGCATATTTGAATATCTTATATAGATATATAGATGCCACCAGTGAAATTATTTCGATCCACCCCATCAGAGGGGTAGATTATTATTGCTGTTTTTCAAAAATCCTTGCTGACCGAGAAATACTGGTTCGTATTTTTCCATGAAATTACAAATTTGAAAGTCACATATATATTTATACATGCCATTAGTGGAATTATTCCGATCAACCCTTTCAGAGGGATAGTTTATTCTTGCAGTTTTTCAAAAATTGGCAAAAATGGCTGCTCCAAGATGGCGGACAAGATTTGGTCCGATTCCATTCAAAATTGGTGAGTGGGGGTTTTTGAGGTCCGAGATCATGATTTTTTTGTTGAAATTCATAAATTCAAGATGGCGGCTTCCAAATAATTTTTTGTTTTTGTATAAATGACGATAACTCCGTTGTTATCAACACAAAACTATTACTGCGACATATCATCTGAAAGAGAAAAAAAAGTTATTTCTGACTGAGTTATAGTGAGCTATGACCTACATTTGAAAAACTAAAGTTGGTGCTGATATCTCAAATTCTAGAAGAGTTGGTATAAATTTCATATTTTTTTCGAAATCACTTTGAAAAACTGCCATGAGAATGGAAAATTCCCATTTGAATATTTCCATAAATAAAGAAGTTACGGAGGAAACATGAAAATGAACAAAATCTGTTTTTTGCGTATAAAACAAAAACGAATAGATTTCATCAAAATATTTTTTCATATTATAGTTGGCCTTGGCAAACTCCACATTTGGTGTCATTTAACCGACCTCGTATCTACACCATTAAAAAGATACCCATGGTGAGCATGGTAAGTGGGACACACTGTATAGATGCCACCAGTAGAATTATTTTGATCCACCCTTTCAGAGGGGTAGTTTATTCTTGCAGTTTTTCAAAAATCCTTGCTGACCGAGCATTTCTGATTCCAATTTTTTCTCCTAATTGCATATTTGGATAGCTCATATTTTTCACTGGTAGCATCTATATGAGATATCCAAATAAGTGATTTGATGGAACAATGCGAACCAGAAATGCTCGATCAGCAAGGATTTTTGAAAAACTGCTCGAGTAAACTACCCCTCTTGAGGAGTGGATCGACATAATTCCACTGGTGGCATCTATATATCTATAAAAGATATTCAAATATGTCATTTGAAGAGAAAATTCGAATAAAAAATGCTCGGTCAGCAAGGATTTTTGAATAACTGCGAGAATAAACTACCCATCTAAAAGGGTAGATCGAGATGATCCCACTGGTGGCATCTATAGATCTATATGAGATATCCAAATATGTAATTTGAAGGAAATGTACGAACCAAAAATGCTCGGTCAGCAAGGATTCTCGAAAAACTGCAAGAATAAACTACCCCTTTGAAGGAGTGGATCAAAATTATTCCACTGGTGGCATCTATATACCTATATAAGATATTCACATATGTGATTTGATGGCAAAATACGAACCAGAAATGCTCGGTCTGCAAGGATTTTTGAAAAACTGCAAGAATAAACTACCCCTCTGAAGGGGTGGATCTGAATTATTTTACTCGTGGCATCTATATATACATATGAAATATTCAAATCTGCAATTTGTGAGAAAAAATCGAACCAGAAATGCTTGGTCAGCATATTTCAATAATTTTGTTCAGCAAATTATATTTTCCCGTAAAAACCACATACAGTGTGTCCTAGCTGAATTTGTCACCCCCTTATCTCTAAAGTCGTTGAATAGATCGAAAAGATATATTTTAATTTGGCGGGAAACACAGTTTTCTGAAGCGGAACTGGCATTAACTTTCGTGTCTCAAAAAGTACAGCTTGTATTTTTTTCATGATCCGTTAGTGATTATGATTACAAATTTGATGATACCAAGTTTGATGAGGTTTTCTTCAACGGCTCCGGAGATATACTTCCAGATTCCAAATAAGGACGGTCTTTATACATTTGAAAATCGAAAGTTCATGTCATTCCAGGAAAACCGGAAGATGTAAAAAATTCACAAAAATGTGAGAAAGTGCACTCTGTAGAGCATATTCGATGTTACAAGTTTCAGAAATATATCTACAAAAACAAAGGAGAAAAGAAGGAATTACTATGTCTCAAAAAATTGTACAAGTGTACAAGACACACCATTTACTTTTATACACCTCTGGTGAGATACCGTCAATGATCACTTTTTATCTAACAACAAACAGAAGATAACAATTTACTCCGAAATCAATGAATCCATTCCGGAAATATTATATCTCAATGTTTATTCTTGGATACTATCTACTATCTCTGTGTATTTTTCTTCGGCTTCACCAACGTAGGTAACTATATTGTACAGAGTGTCCCAATAAAAATTTCGAAATGTTCATTGAATTACCTTTATAGGCACTAATCTTTTTCTAGGGATAGGAGTAAATAAAACTGACGGTGGACCATTTTGAAACATTTATTTCCTCATAGATTTTGAAAAACAACACTTTTTTTCTTCGGCTGTTCCTCTATAAGTATTTTGCTCTCTGAACTGTATTCTTCTTCCTTAGTTGGGATGATCTAGAAAACTACAAAAGTTAGATTCTCAAAATAAATTTAAAAAAATTGAGAATTGTTTTCAATATCCCACTCTCAATTATTATTTTGATTTTGATGAACTCTATTTGTAGAATTAGGTGATTTAAATGGCTCCATGAAATTTCAACTACTACAATGTATGCTTTATGTAATGAAGAGAAAATATATAAACCTGATATTGGTACAAACATTAACACAAAAACAAAAGCATATCGACCATTGGTGCAAGAACGAAATTAATTGGTAAAGGCCATGCAGCCATAAGACAATTGTATCCATTGTTGGTCAGGAATACAGGTCTAACAATGGAAAACAAACTGCTCTTATACAAGCAAGTGATAAGACCTGTGATTACATATACGCTTGTCCGGTGTACTGTAGCGCCTCCGCCACTCAACTGAAAAGGCTACAGGTGCTACAGAACAAGGTACTCCGAATCATTACTAACGGTAATAGATACACTCGAGTGGCTGACATGCATGCTCAATGTCATGATCTACCCTTGATAAAAGATTACATCATCAACGTTTCAAATAAATTTTATAAACATCACATCCAGAATAGCGAACTCACAAGAGATATAACGAGAATAAGGGCAGATCATGACATCCGTAGGAAACATGGGCTGATTTATGAGGCCAGCGATGTATTCAGGGAACCCCCTGAATAACTCCCCCAACCTCCTCTCATCTCTAATAGACTGACTCTATACAACAAATAGCTGAGAAGCTGAATTGAACGAGAACGGTAGCCGTTTGGCCGGGCCGTATAGTCTAAACACTGTGTGGCCCGGCTGAACGACTATCGGAGCATTACCATCGAGCAGGACTCAGAGATAGCACGCCTATCGGCTAAAAAAACTAGTGTATTTGCCGATACGAAATCATTCTATTAGATCCCAATCATTAGATCCCAATCACTCTCCCACACCTATCCCACCCCTCATCCCTCATAGTGTCTTTCACAGAGAAATTTCAGAAGTTGGTTTTTTATTTTCATTTTCCAACACAAAAAATGCTAAATTAGAGAGAAAAAGGTAGCAATCGACGATCAATCTTTTTTGCCCTGGGCAACTCACTGACATGAGCTGGATTAAAGGTTTACTCCTAGGAGTCAGCTCCCTCATGACTGCCATCAGGGTTGTTAGACAAAAATCATCGGCAAGGCCTGCATCGGCTGCCTCTGAGGGCTCCCTTGGAGGGTAATTCTGTGGCGTATCTAAGTGTTTTACATTGTATGTTTTACATTTTTATCATGTCCAATGTCCCCTTTAGAAGATTTTTGTTTATACACCCTGTATTGTAAAAATGTTTTTATTGAATAAATGGAATTGAAACGGTAAACGGTGCAAGAATGATTCAAAAATTATAAAATCAGAAAAGAAATTGTCGGTGTATTTCACCATTTTTGTTGTAAGGCGAAATTCATTCATATTATTGAAATGTGAGTAATATCACCTGATTTTGGTAAACATCCAATTCTGGTGCATGCCCATCGACCATTGGCACACCAACAATTATTGCAGTCCACTTTTTTTCTATCTCCTTTTGTGCACTGTTGCTGTGATGTATCTACGGAACGTACTACCCAGAAAAAAGAGTTCATTTAATGTAAATCAAAAATAATGTAGGCATTTGATGAAAGATTGATAGTTTTTTTGCACTCATGACATGACATAATGTCATAATTCTGTCTAACTAGGATATAGGTTACACATAATAAGAATTCATGTATAGGAATACATAAGGAGGGTAAATCTTTGTTAGAAGCTCCTGGTGTCTCATAGTGGAGAAATAAATAATATTAACCGGTATCCATTTTCTTTTACCAAATTTCAAGGACATTTGTATTAATTAATCGAATTATGATGACTTATGACCTGGTACAAGTTGGTATAAGCTGATTTATTATCTTTAAATCCCCAGCTTTCATTAGAACACGCTGAATTACATCTATCCAAGTTACGGTAAGCTCAAACTTTCAGACACTCTAGCGTCTAGGGACAGGTTGCAACAAATAATCCATGCAAAAGCATAACCTCAAAAAAACGCAATAGGTTGCGTGCAAGAACTGTCAGATGACCGACCCTGTAGGTGAAACATTGAAACACAACCTCACTTTTCCTATTTGTTTACAAATGATTGAAATAATTTTTCACAATCATTTTGGCATATGAATCGTGTTTTTCGGCTATTCATTAATTCGAGCATGCCATCACATTGTGCTGTTGTACAATGTACAAAAATGCAGCGAGAGACGAAGGAATCCGGTTGGTACATTATGAATTAACAGTAAATACCTACTATAGACTCTCACATATAGTTTTCATTTTGAAATTTGGTAATTTCTCTGATTTCTCATCGGAATTCTTTCTGCAATAGGAGCTGATAGAAATACTCGTGAAATTTTTAAAAGAATGCAAGAAGATGGGATTCATGCAATCAAACGGGAGAACTGTTCCGACATGCTGACGAAATATGATCGTGTGTGTTGTAGACATTTTCAATTTATTAGCAGTATTAGCTTCTATTGCAGAAGTGGCAGAAGGAATTTCATTAAGAAGTTACAAAGTTTCATAATGAAAACTATGTGAGATAACTATTTACCTGAAAAATTATATCCCTTCGTCTCTCGCTGCATTTTTTGTGTATTCTACAGCAGCATAATGAGAAGGCATTCTTGAATTAATGAATAGAGCAAAAAACACGATTCGTATGCAAAAATATGGTGAAAAACTATTTCAATGTTGATAAGCCTCTAGGAAAAAGAAGAAGCGATAATAAAAATCGAATAATTGATTATATTATAGAACTGCAAAACGATATGTTTCCCATGTTATATTTCATCAATGAAATAATCTATGATAATTATGTAATCAATTGTTGTTGCTTTGAATGGTGCTTTTGTTATATACATCAACTATAATATTACAGGTATCTTGGGCATTTATTATAAAATTTGCTGGTGAGTTTTGTTGGGCTTCTGATGACACAAAATAATTGTGCTCATTAGTCTGATTATTTAGGTTAATGTTTGTGCGATGCGACTGAGGCATCAGAATGTATTGTGGAAGTTGAAGGCTGAGAATCGTTAATCTATGCTGAGAAGAAAACATTTCAGCTACCTCAATTTTTCTCTTCACAGAAGCTTCTATGTAAGTTTCAGCGCCAATCGATGCATCGATTTCATTATCTCAAGATCAAATTTTTTCAGTTGACCCGTTCAAAAAATAAAAGGGGGGGGGGAGGCATTGAGGAAAAACACTGTACATATGTTTATGCTCTTGCTATTGTTTTTTACGAACTTCACTGTGAGATGAAAACCTCAATATAGAAAACTTCCCCATTGGAAAAAAGTGGATTGTACAGTGAACTGTGAACTAATTAGCTAGGAGTGAGCCACAATAGACAAATCCAACCTAGAATCAGAATCCCAGGGAAGAGCTATGGGAGAATAATGAATGAATAGAGGTTGATGAATCGGTGAGCTACAGGTCATTTTATTATTAGGAACCTGAAACACTTGCTCAGCTTTAGGAAAATAGTTGTAATTTTTCGAACCTGCTCTACGGTTAGAGGTGGGACATGCCATCAGAGTACACATCCATTCGCCATTACCGCACCAACAATGGTTGCAGTCTATCATTTTTTGATCTCCACTTCTGCACTTTTCTACACTCCTAGTAGGTCGTGATCCTAGAAAAATTATGTAACAATTATTTTCTCTTCCTGATTATATGAAATAGACAGTAAATGTGTGTATATCTCCATTTCTATGAGCTATATTATTTGAAATCACTAAGACATAGAATGGAGAATAAAACTACCTGACACAAACCCAATAAATACAGGGTGTCCCAGCGAAAACGAAACAGGTATTTTCGGTATGAAAAAAATGTTTTTCTCTCAAATCTCGGACACGTCGATATTATTTATTATCGAGGCGGACAACTTTTTCATACCAAGGCACCCTCATACCAGCAACCCCCTTCGAGGGGTCACCCCTAAAATCCCAAATGGAAAGAGGGGACGTGTGATACCTTATTTCGAAGGTCTTTTAATTCTACATATAAGTGCCAAGTTTGAAGTGGCTAAAATTATTTCTCTGGATATGACAGCTTGTCAAAATTCTAGGAACAGCGAAAATCAATGAGTTATTTTGGACTTTGTTTTGGATAATATTTTCAAAAGAAGAAGGAAATCCTATTTTCGAAGGGGTCACTTATTAATTAAGAGGCCACCCTTATACCTGGAACCCTTTACGAGAGGTTGAAAGCACCCCTTAAATCTTGTAGTCTCCACTTCGAATTAAAATGATATGAAAAAATTTTGAATGAAAAAGCTGTGTCAAATGACCCAAACTTTTATTTCGTGAAGTTGTTTCATATACACAGTCATTTGTTTCTCCAGAAAAGACATCAACTTTGATGTTTTCAAAAGAAAGGAACGGCCCCCAAGATCACCAGACCTGTCTCCCTTAGATTTATTTCTGTGGGGTCATTTGAAGAGCAGAATTTATAGTACACCACCAGCATCACTAGCAGATTTGCGGCAACGAATCACTGAATAATGTCGCCAAATCACCCCAGACATGCCCCAAAATGTTCGAAAACGTTTTCAACTAAATCTGTATCATTGCATGGAAGTTGGAGGTGCGCATTTCGAGTATTTGTTAAGATGAGAATAATGTAAATGAATTTTACTCTTGACTTAATTATGGCTCATTCCGGTTGAAAAACTGATGACCGTTGTTTCGAGATTTCAACGGGCTATTCCCTATTCAAATTTAAAGGGTTGTTCACCCCACAGCTCGAGTGTTGCAGTGACGATATTGCATGTAGGAGAAACAAATGTCCTCCTCGAAACTAAAATCGACCTGTCCGAGCGTTTTTCCAAATCTACGATATTATAGTATCCAAAACCGTCATGTCAAGTTTTCGATGGGCCACCCTGTATAATTCACGACATGTCGATAGAACCTTTCTTTCTGATTTCAGAAGTATATATGCGTTGCATATTTGGATGAAAAATAGTTGAGTTATTGATGATATATAGTGGGCTTCGAAATAACGTTTATATACCGGGTGGCTACGGAAGTATTGCCTACGGAATATCTCAATTATTGTATGAAGTAGGTTTGTGAAATTTGGAGCGTCGATTTAATGACATAAGAGCTAGAATTTGAGCATATTGACATGTCGAAGTTAACTTCCCGTCTGACCGGAAGTAACATCAACTTTCTTATTTTAAATGGAAACCCTATTTTTTTTTCTTTTCGCTTTATTCAGCATTCAATTTCCTTTCTAATGACATATCACAAGTTGGTATCTAACCAGAAACTAGATCAGAAAAAAATTATTATTGAAATTCACCGAGTAGAACGTGGAAGCAGAACGTCAGTTTTCGAAAAATTTACATGAGGGCAAGATGTTTGCAAATTGCAGAAAGAATCTGAATCTATCCCATTGAAAGCAGAGGCGGCACGCAAAAAAGTTCTACAGGACCCCTGAAAGTCTATCACCCTGTAGGTATTCAAGAACGCTCAATAGCCTCAAATATTGAGTTTTTGAAGTGTCTTAGCTTAGGTGTTCCAAATTTCAATCAATTATTCTGAAAATTGTAGGAGAAAATTCAAAATACATAAAAAAAATCTTAAACTTTGACACCCTGTGAATCGGGAACGAAGCTCCCACGCATATATGTTTGTTTGAGATTTTCATCTTGAAAAAATGTCTTCTTCAAGCTGTTGAAGTCCTGCTACAAAAAACTGAAACACCCTGTATATATGCCTCACTGGCAAATGTGCAAGATTTTTGCCGTTGAAGTCATTCCCTTAGCAAAGGAAGCATTGGGCCAACAACTTCCCAGTAAAGTTCAATGTTTGTTGGGATAGTATATCTTCTTTATTTCAATACCTGGTCTTTGATATTGATTAGGACACCCCATCAAAGTACAAGCCCATCTGCCATTGCTGCACCAACAGTGATTGCAATCTAACATTTTTCTATCTCCCTCTCGACATTCTTCTTGATGGTGTTGCGTTGAATTCCATGTAGGTGCTTGTCCTAGAAAAAAAATCAAGGGATACATCAACCCATAAACAGGGCTTTTGCTTCAAAACTTTAGCAACCTGCATATACAGTTCTCAACACACTAAATGGACCACTCATAATTTGACTATACAGTGTGTCCCACTTACCATGCTCACCATGGGTATCTTTTCAACGGTGAGAGATACCAGGTCGGTTAAATGACACCAAATGTGCAGTTTGTCATGGCCAACTATAATGTGAAAAAATATTTTGATAAAATCTATTCGTTTTTGTTTTATACGCAAAAAACAGATTTTGATCATTTTCATGTCTCCCCCGTAACTTTATTTATGGAAATATTCAAATAGGAATTTCACATTCTCATGGCAGTATTTCAAAATGATTTCGAAAAAAATATGAAATTTATACCAACTCTTCTAATATTTGAGATATCAGCACCAACTTCAGTTTTTCAAATGTAGGTCATAGCTCACTATGACTTAGTTACAAATAACTTTTTTTTCTCTTGCAGATTATATATCGCAGTAATAGTTTTGTGTTGATAACAACGGAGTTATCGTCATTTATACAAAAACAAAAAATTATTTGGATGCCGCCATCTTGAATTTATAAATTTTAACAAAAAAATCATGATCTCCGACCTCGAAAACCCCCACTCACCAATTTTGAATGGAATCGGACCAAATCTTGTCCGACATCTTGGAGCAGCCATTTTTTTTAATTTCAACAAAAATTCTATAATGAATTGTCACCGAAATTATGAACACCTGCCAAATTCCGAGTTGATCGAAGTTATGGAATTTTCGCTGAAATTAAAAAAAATAGCTGCTCCAAGATGGCGGACAAGATTTGGTCCGATTACATTCAAAATTAGTAAGTAAGGGTTCTTGAGGTCGGAGATCATGATTTTTTTGTTAAAATTTATGAATTCAAGATGGCGGCATCCAAATCATTTTCTGTTTTTGAATAAATGACGATAACTCCGTTGTTATCAACACAAAACTATTATTGCGACATATCATCTGTAAAAAAAAAAGTTATTTGTAACTAAGTCATAGTGAGCTAGGACCTACATTTGAAAAACTAAAGTTGGTGCTGATATCTCAAATTCTAGAAGAGTTGGTATAAATTTCATATTTTTTTCGAAATCATTTTCAATAACTGCCATGAGAATGTGAAGTTCCTATTTGAATATTTTCATAAATAAAGTTACGGAGGAGACATGAAAATGATCAAAATCTGTTTTTTGCGTATAAAACAAAAACGAATAGATTTTATCAAAATATGTTTTCACATTATAGTTGGCCTTGACAAACTCCACATTTGGTGTCATTTAACCGACCTCGTATCTCTCACCGTTAAAAAGATACCCATGGTGAGCATGGTAAGTGGGACACACTGTATTTCGAAGACCTGTATTTCTTGAAAAAATTAACCGATCTTCATGCGGTTTTCGATATCAGATGTGATATTTCATCGGCTTCAAAAAGATCTAGAACACTCTGAAAAAGTCCGCAGAACAAAACTTACACAGGGTGTAGAGTGGAACCATTACACTATGGTCTACATTTCCAATGCTGCCATAACTCGAGAAATTTTTTTCTGATCAAAATCAGTTATATTATGATTCACTGGGACCTCATCTCTGGACATTTTCGTGATTTTATCTTAATTGGCCATTGGAACAAAAATTCGATTTTTTTTCGAGTCTTGCATTTCTTGAAATTTTTCTCTAGAACTCCACTTGAGCTGACTATTGGAAAGAACTGTTCTCATGTTTTGTGGAGGACAATGAAAGACGAAAAAAACACTATTGTGGAATATACAGGATAATACGAAAATAGGACGAAATCTCATTTCAGTGAAAAAAATCAAAAATGGTGACTAAATCCATGGCCCACTCGATTCAGTATATTCAACAACGGCCTTCTCGATATCCATTGTTCATATTTGACTATTAACTCGAGACGTTTCCAAAAATTCACCTCTAATTGAAATACAGGATGAAAATTTTCAATTCAAACTTGTTTCCTGATATCGATGATTCTTATCAACTGATTTCCAATATTTATTGCCCAAGTATGAGACAGAGAGTATTGTTGTTCAATATACTGAGTGTTTCACATCTTATCTGACATATTTCAACCACAACTACAATATAACATAAGAAGTCGATCACATAATGATTTTATAGAAGTAAAACGAGATGGAAAATGAAATTTATAACACAATTGGCGAGATATGATATTAGTGAATTCTTCAATTATGGAGATCCAACTAAAACGTTCTATATCCTAAATTTCAGTACTTCAAGTTCAAGTTCAAGTTCAAGTTTTATTTCGTCATTTTTGATACAAATTGTATATGTGACACGTCGAAAACAAAAACAAAAAACAAATATACAAACAAAGTACTCATGAATAGTACAGCAAATACATCATATTAAGAGAGGTTCTCATACTCTTTGAGGGAGTAAAAGCAACTTGTTAGAAGATATTCTTTGAGGAGCTTTTTAAATTTCACATGGTTTTTTTCTTCTTTGATGGTTTGGGGAAGTAAATTGAAATATTTTGTTCCTGAGTAATTTGGGGATTTTTTATACCCACAATAGTTACATTTCGTCAAATGGAAATCATTTCTGTTCCTTGTAAAATGATGATGGATTTCTTTATTCTGCATGAATGATACGGAATTTGAATGAACATAACTTAGCGTTTTATAAAGGTAAATGCATGGTAGTGTAAGAATACGGTTATTTTTAAATGTTTCTTTGCAAGATTCTCTATATTTGACATCAAAAATCAGACGCAAAAAACGTTTTTGCATAATGAAGATCCGATTTACATCTGATGCTAGTCCCCAAATGGAAATATTTATACTTATTTTGGAATATACCAATGCATAGTAAATGTCCAGTAGATTATGATTCGTGAAATTCGACTTCAATGTTAGGAAAGCGTAATAATTTTTTTTCAGTGTTGTGCATAGGTATTCAATATGTTTGTTGAAAGATAATTTACAATCCAGTTGTGTTCCAGTAGGGCCTCCCCGATTTAACAAAACCTCATTAGATTGGTTTGGCATAGGTTCTATGAGGTTGTTGAGGATCTTGAGATAATGCTGGTCACCGCATTGTTTTAACATTATTGTTTTCTAGAGTTTGTATTTTGTCAGATAAGTTGTGAAACACTCAGTACATGTAAAAACATTACTCTGTGTCTCATACTTGGGCAATGAATATTGGAAATCAGTTGATATAAGAATCATCGATATCAGGAAACAAGTTCGAATTGAAAATTTTCTTCCTGTATTTCAATAAGAGGCGAATTTTCGAAAACGTCTCGAGTTGATAGTCTAATATAGACAATGGATATCGAGGAGGCCGTTCCTGAATATACTGAATCCAGAGATTATACACACCAAGTGTGATGCAATGATGAATTCAGCTCACAAAGGAGAATGCGAAAATACAATGAAATACAGGGTGTCCCATAAGAAAAAGTATAACTTTAATACTTTACGCATTTTTGAGTTACCCTGTATAGAGCGAAATAATTTGGATATGTGCTGCTCATGATCCTAGATCATCTCTGAAATTTTTATTCATCTATCTCAAATAGTGAAGAAGTTATCTCACTTTGCCACACTAATGACTCACCCTGTATATGTACATTCATTACCTTTTTCGTGACATAATTTAAACAAAGCGAGCCGAAATATCATGCAATTTATAAGTGTAGGTGATTAACTAAAGATCAATAATAATATAGGTTATTATAATAGTAAATAAATGTTCAAATATTTTTCAGTAGGTTATGAAATGTTTCAGTACTCCAGTAGATCAATATAAAAATCAGGAGATCTACTGAAAATTTAGTAAAACTGGCAACCCTGCAGCGGACGAGAACTGTTTGCGGACGAGAAGTTGTCTGCGAACGAAAAGTAATGACCTTCGGAAAGTCGGCTTTTCGTTCGGAAATTAGAACGTGAAATGTGATTTTCTGTATGGTTCGCCGAATAAATTATTTTTATTTTGATATACCTGGTCTTCGATTCTGACTTGGGCATCCCATCATAGTACAAGCCCATCTACCATTGTCACACCAACACTGATTACAATCCATCATTTTCCTATCCCCTACTCTACATTCTTGCTGTGATCCTTGCCAGTTGGGGTTTTGTTGATTTCCTGGAAAACATGGCAAAAGTTCCAAATTCACTAGTGATCAAACTCATGCTTGAGAACATATGACTAAATCCCGAAGAACCCAATGAGAGCAGCTCAAAAAACTACAAAAACACACTTTTTTCTGCAACTGACACAGAAGTCGTCCATTTTGATACCAAAATTAGCTCTTAAATTGACATTTCTATCACAGACAGAAAAATAGGTATGTTGCGAGGCTACATATTCAGTTCCTAGGAGCTAAAGTTGAATTTTAGTTCCTAGGAGCTGAAGTTGAACTTTAGCTCCTAGGAACTATAAAGGATGTACTGGACGTCATCAAGAATAAACAACATTGTGACGGTTGGTTATTTGGATGGAGACGCATACCTGATTTGTTTCCGATTTCAGCAGATTTGGCATTTCATACCCATGCTGGAGATATAAACACACCTTATTATAGTTCAGTATTGGAATTATAAACATCTCAGTTAAGTATTTTTGTTTTGATCAGGGAAGCCTTCAAAATTCAAATACTTGCTTGATCTGTATTTCATTCGTTATTTTCGGGATGGATTAGTTGTTTTTGAATAATCACGGCGAGCAATAGTTTTTTGTCTCAAACAACGATATTGTTTAGCTTCATTAGATTATCAAGTCAAACACAGTGTGGTATATAGAGGAATAAATAATCACTATTATCATTGTTAATATGCTCACTAACCTAACATTTTCCACGTTTTGTTCCTATAGCTGGCACTGGCGCGGTATTTGCCATTAGAGCACCTGGTCCATACTCAAATATGTCACTCTGTGGTTGTATTTATATTGAAACTACAATTCGAACATCCTAGAAAACCTAACCTGCTGTTGATGCAGGTAGAATATTCTCACCACATGGATTATTTGTAAATATTATTTGTTGCATTGCATACATATGGCACGGCATTGGTGGTTACTTCACATGTTTATTTGAGTTAATTGTTTCGGTTGCAGAAAAAATAGCATGTTTCATTCGGATCAAAAGTGACTTTGTTCGACTCGCAAATTTTACTTTCGCTCGGCTTCGCTAAACGCTCCGCCTCGCAAATGCAAAATTCGCTTGTCAAACAAAGTGTCACTTTTGATCCTAATAAAACAATCTACTATTATAAATATCCAAACTAGAGAGAGGTACCAAAACTATTTGAAATTTTGGTGGCGGAGCATTATTCACCATTTCATTTGAATCGAGAAAGAAAAGCGCTCCTCCTGAAGATCCTGATTAGGATAATATGCAAATTTTCACTTATAATATCACGAGAGCTTCAATTACCTCTGGAAATTTTTTCGAGAACACAAATATTTCAAAAATTCACTCGATTCGAAGACAAGGGAGAATTCTCTAAATATTCGTGTTCGAGAAAAAATTCCTAGATATTAATTGAAGCTAAAGTGGTATTCAGTAAGAAAATTTACATGTTGATAGTTGTTTGTGATGGAATGTATGAACTAACGTAGAAACAATATGTGTTTTTGTAAATTTCGAATCTGCAAGTATACCTACATACATATGGTGAACTGTTGATAAATGATTTTTATTCATTGACCTATAAAATGAACTCGAAATAATCTGAAGTTGAATACAAATGTCATCAACAAGGAGGAGGAAAAAATGTCCAAGAAATTTGTTTAGTTGCCATGGTAACGATACGAAATTCAGGCTCTAAATGGATCGAAAATGTTTAGTGTGAAATTTTCAATTTCATTCGACGTTTTGGGATGGGTCTAAATCACACCCGTCTCTCTGGATGTATTCATTTAGACGAGTATTTGATGCAAGACAGTGATGTTGCTCTGGATATGAAAAGCATTGTATGGAGTTCTTCGAAGGAATAAAAACGTGCCTACATTTGACATTTTGGTGACGAAACATTTGAAATTTGGGTGGCGGAACATAATTCACGATTTCATCCGAGAAAAAAAAACGCTCATTCTGAAGGTTCTGATCAGGACAATTGGGACAAAACTATCAATTTATGTTATCATCATCGGTCTTTCAGAAGTGTGCTAAGTTTTGATTTAATTCGAGGTTTTGAAGTGGCTCAAAATCACACCCGTCCCTCTGGATGTAACATTCATACGAGTATTTGGTGCAAGACAATAACGTGGTTCTGGATATAGGAAGCATTGTATGAAGTTATTCGAAGGAATACAAACGTACATTTAAAATTCTGGTGAAGGAACATTTGGAATTGGTATTAACATTATTCACTATTTCATTCGAGAAAAAACGTCGATCATCCTGGAGATCCTGATTGAGATAATGGAACAGAACTATCAGATTATAATAATGTTATCGGTTCTTGATAATTATTCGAAGTTTCGACGATAAGGGGGTCAAAATCACATTCGTCTCTCTGGATGTAACTATTCAAACGAGTATTTGATGCAAGACAGTGATGTTGCTCTGAATATAAAAAGTTTTGTCTGAAGTTTTTCGAAGAAATAAAAACGTACCTACATTCGAAATTTTGGTGACGAAACATTTGAAATATTGGGCGGAACATCATTCACTTTCATTCGAGAAAAATAAATCGCTCATTCTGAAGATCCTGGTCAGGATAATTAGGACAAAACTATCAAATTATATTATTACCTATAATCGGTCTTTCGAAAGTGTACGAAGTTTTAATTCAATTCGAGGTTATGAAGTGGCTCAAAATCACACCCGTCTCTCTTGATGTAACATTTATACGAGTATTTGGTGCAAGACAGTAACGTGGCTCTGAATATAGGAAGCATTGTATGAAGTTATTCGAAGGAATACAAACGTACAGTTGAAATTTTGGTGAAGGAACATTTGGAATTTTTGGTGGATTAACATTATCCACCATCTCATTCGTGAAAAAAATTCGTTCATCCTGGAGATCCTGATCGAGATAATGGAACAGAACTATCAGATTATGATAATGTTATCGGTTCTTGATAATTATTCGAAGTTTCAATTTGATTCGACGATAAGGGGGTCAAAATCACACCCGTCTCTCTGGATGTAACATTCATACGAGTATTTGGTACAAGACAGTAACATGGCTCTGGATATAGGAATCATTGTATGGAGTTATTCGAAGGAATACAAACGTACAGTTGAAATTTTGATGAAGGAACATTTGGAATTTTTGGTGGATTAACATTATTCACCATTTCATTCGTGAAAAGAATTCGTTCATCCTGAAGATCCTGATCGAGATAATGGAACAAAACTATCAGATTATAATAATGTTATCGGTTCTTGATAATTATTCGAAGTTTCAATTTGATTCTATGATTAGGGGGTCAAAGTCACACTCTTCTCTCTGGATGTAACTATTCAAACGAGTAGTTGATGCAAGACAGTGATGTTGCTCTGAATATAAAAAGTATTGTATGAAGTTTTTCGAAGAAATAAAAACGTACCTACATTCGAAATTTTGGTGACGGAACATTTGAAATTCTGGTGGCGGAACATCATTCACTTTCATTCGAGAAAAATAAATCGCTCATTCTGAAGATCCTGGTCAGGATAATTAGGACAAAACTATCAAATTATATTATTACCTATAATCGGCCTTTTAAAAGTGTACGAAGTTTACATTCAATTCGAGGTTATGAAGTGGCTCAAAATCACACCCGTCTCTCTTGATGTAACATTTATACGAGTATTTGGTGCAAGACAGTAACGTGGCTCTGGATATAGGAATCATTGTATGAAGTTATTCGAAGGAATACAAATGTACAGTTAAAATTTTGGCGAAGGAACATTTGGAATGTTTGGTGGATTAACATTATTCACCATTTCATTCGAGAAAAAAAATCGATCATCCTGAAGATCCTGATCGAGATTATGGAACAGAACTATCGGTACTGGGACCAATATTATTTATTTTATTCATAAATGACATTATATATGGGGCGCCGTTTGGTTCATAATTATTTTTTCGATATATAGAAATTTTAACGCGATATATAGAAAAAATCCTATATAATATACGAAATTATCAATATTATATGAAAAATTTCTTATATCGTGTGAAAAATGTTCTATATATTTGAGTGCGACGAAATTTCAATATATATTAGTATGCCTCACGCCGTTTGGTTCATAATTATTATTTGTAATATATAAAATTTTTACTGAATTTATACAGAAAAAAGTCTATATCAAATGCACAAATTTTATATATGACGAAATCTTTATATATTTGCGTGTCAGGAAAGTCTATATTTGCGCGTCGCGAAAGTTTATATTTGGTTGTACCAGTGTGTGCAGAAATAGACTTTCGGGTTCCAGGGTTTACCGATAGGTGGCTGAACGCGGCTGGACGTCAGCACAGAATGAGGATAGAGGATCTGGCAACACTGAGGTCAAAGCTACGATCAGATGTCAGCTGTATGTTTACTGTTTGTCAACTAATTTCTTCTCAGAGTCTCAGAGATTTGGCAAATTTTTCAACAGTGGTAAAAGTGGATTTAATCTGCACAAAAGCGATCATTATTTTTATAGATTGTGTTTTTCAGTTAAGTTTCAGTGGAATTATCATTATTTTTCGATTCTTTTTATCATTTTACATAACCTCAAAAAATTGTGGTATAATAAGTGTGAGTATATTTGATTTTTTTCTAGTGTCTGGGGTTGCTGAGGTAGAAATGATATATTTTTGTAGATAAACTTGGCAATGTGGAGACCTGGAGGAATAAAACGTGCAGTCAAAGACTGCAAGAGTGAGTACTTAAATAATAACCAACATACACCATTGAGATTGTTTAGGTTCCCTTATCCTACCCAAGAAGTAAGAATGATTTGGAAATGCATATATAATATGACTGGGAAATGCATATATCATATGACTCAGAGTTGACTTCAATAAGGGCTCAATACCCTTTTGTGAGTACCAGCATTTATGTAGTTCTGTGCAATGTTCATGTTACACTCTCTGATTGTACTTTTCATGGTTCTACTGATTTTCTGAAGGACATCTGAAATGAGAACTGGCTATGGAAAT